TGATGATGATGGTGATGATGATAATTATGATTATGATGTTGACGATGATAATACAATGGGTTTGACAATGGATGATAATCATGATAAAAAATACCTTGTCTTTCAGCTGTTGACAGATTTGTAATGCTGCTGTAAATAGTACAACACTGTCTTTAAGTCTCGGAATGCTGCAATCAACCTGAAACACAAGCCTGAACATCAATTGACTTCAATTTGGGTAGAAAACATAAAACTTGTGATCAAAATGAAATTAATATATCATTCAGTAATATACAAAAACAAAACAAAGTGATCAAAGACTTTAATTTAATCAAACTGCAACCTGTGAAATATCATCATATTGATAGGTTGCAAACATTTCCAAGAGAGTCAAAAGACAAAAATATGGTGCTGTTAACAATGGATGCTAATGAGAAATCTTTTGTGAAATGGCACCAATGCTCACCAATGCTCCCTGCAATCAAAGAATATTAAACCAGGAAATGGCTCACAGATGAAATTGAAATTTAGTGTGTTTTTTTTTCAGAGGGAGAAAAATGATTGAAAAACCTGGAAAAATATTTCCATGATATATGAAGCAATTTTTTGTGTATATAATCTGTTGAATTCAGTACCTCAAAGTGGCTGTTTATTTCCATCCATTTTGAATTGTGTTCACTGAAACAAAGTATTGTCACATCATCATGAAAAAAAGAAATATTGTTAACAGAAATACCAAGATTACAGAGCAATTTACTAATGTCCATAACACTGAAAGTGGGTAGGGTGCGCTGAGGGTTGCAAATGTAGTGGTTATAATTATTTAGCAGAAAGTGTGTGCAATTGGGTGAGAGTATATATAGCTTCCCCAGCCCCTCCCTCTCGGCAGTTTATGGATACCATACACAAAACATTCTTAACTAACATTGGAGAAAATGCAACAAGATATAAATGTGGTCAATATTTTCTTACAATGTGTGGCCCACTTGATCTCCTTCCATTACTTGTTTCTGGTGACAAAGAAAAATCTATAACTATATATATTTGTATACTTTACATCCTTGAAACAGCAAGAAAAACCATCCTACTCATTTCACACATCCAAGTCATAGCATAAATTTACTGTCCATGGAATCAATTATTTACTGCTATAAGTGTTTAAGAGTGTTATTTTACAAAATTCTTACAGGATTTTGAGGAGGCACAGGAAGGGTTATCAATGTAAACACTGATAATACTAGCTTGTCACAGTTGATGTAAAAATTAGACGCCACATCTTCAGGAAGGCTGGGCTTGAAAGATTTCTGAAAAAAAGTTTCAAATGTATGTTCAACTCTCTAACCAAGTAGTAGCTACACTACCTTTAATTATTAATCTCTTATCACAAACCTTGCTGCTAAGACTTAAACAAATTGGTGAATTTGGGTAAGAGTGCTTGCTGATGCAAAATCAGTTCGATTTCCAGACTCTGTGTAGTAATGTGAGTACAGTTGCTGATTGGTTGGTTGTCTCCTCTGCTTCAAGGGTTTTGCTTCTGGTTCTCCTGTTTCCCTCTCTCCAAAAAATCCACTAATTCCTATTTGAATTTCAGTGTTTGAACAGCTATTGCTAAATCTCACTCATTCATTTATGACCTGAGTGTCAGGCCATGGGGGAGGGGAGGGGGATGGACCAAGAGAGCCAAGAGCYTGATACTTGGGTTAATTCATATATTTATTTTTTTATACCTGATTACTTGAGTTAATTATATCAAGGACTGGCATCTTTTTGGGAACCATCAAGCAATTCTTTCCTTTTGTGAGACAATTAGCTATATCATCAATGATCTTGAATAAAGACATAAACATCATCTATTAATAAATCTTAGTCATAAATGTATGCCTTGACTTAAAATGTCTTGGGTAATAGGAGTACCTTGCTGACTTCTCTGCCAGATGAATAATTATTCATATTTTTCATTTCCTCCACTTTTTCAGTGCAAAGTTGGAGGTAGTTGATTGCATCTTGAATCTGTTAAGCAAAATAATATTAGCCTTATTGGAAGTACTATAGGTATAATTACCATTTTCATTGCTACATCAAAGCTTTCGAATGTCAAAGTTGGTCATAAGTCTGAAGTAGCTGGCTGTGGTTCAATATAAGGTACATTATATGAATGTCTATATATTCAAGGTAATTTATTTTTGAATTTCATTAGTTTTCTAACAATCAAACATACCTGTTGAAGCCTCCATGGATGGCTGTCCCTGATAAACACTCTGAAACCTGAATTTGAAACCTTTGGGAGCCTAAACTTAATATCCTGAAAACAGTACCAATAATAAATATACCAAAAATGCTTACTGGTGACTTTCTTCTATTTTATGATCTGGCCTCCTGGACAACACTCAAATTCCAGATCCTTGGATGGCCAATCACTAAACTTCCTTTAGATCTTGACCTTAGTCCTATCTTACACAGAAAATTAATTTTCCAAAAAAATTACTAATGGTATTTAATTTTCTAAATATCAATTTATTAAAACCATAGCACCTAGCTTTTACTGGGAAATGGTGATGATTGGGCCTCATTTGCAGATATCCTCTTTGGTTGCCATGCAAGACTTTAGTGAAGCATTGCATGACAACAATACGATAATGACAAAGGGTGATGACAATTTAAGATATAGTGATAATTATTGTTTGTGCATTTACTTACTGCTTTGGAGATGTCTTCTCCTTCAATGGCAATGTAACCCTTTAATAAGTCGGCACTAAATTTTCACACCATAAATAAACAAAATAAATAAATAAGTTTTACATGTGAAATAATCCTTTTTTAGTTTATAGAAATGCATATTTTTTAAACATGTTTTATATACAGTATTATGTTCAGTTCAAGTTTAACTAACATTGATTTTTATTATTTACTAAAGATTAAGTTTACTACCTACATACGTGATATCATCATTATTATGCAGCCCCCCCCCCCCCCTCACTTTTTGTGGCAAAAATACAAATATAATTAAAAAACGTTTACTATCTTTTTATAGCTATTTTCCTTTTTTCAATATGCTTAATTTTCAAATGCCCCCCCCCCCCCCCCCCCACTTTTCAATATGCTCCGCGGTTCCTGCATAAGTAGACACTCAGTCACTAGACCCAATCATCTATTATTTCATTTCCAAGTATGTGTGATTCTCTTGAGTATTATTCATTTCCTCACCAGTAGGTTATGAGTAGATACATTTATTTTTTAAATAAAGAGACATTCTTACTTGGGAGTTGATAGCATGAAGTAGTCTTGAGGCTTTGGAGGATCTCCTATAAATTCAATTAGCTATAAATTATGGTTTTGACAATTAACCTTGGCAAACTAATTATTATTATTTTATATCCATGGTTGAGAATAATAGCTGATCATCAGACGATGTCTGGCCAGAATACTCCATTTTCGGTTCCGTTCGAGTGACCACGAATAATAGTTGCAACTCAAGGCTGCTGTTTCCGCGCATAGCAGAACTATACTTTTATCATGCGCGGAAACTCCAGCCTTGGCTTGGAACAGAACTGTAAAATGGAGTATTGGAACTTGTCTGGTCAAATCTTTGCCTTGCCACCAGTCAGTTTGACCAGTAACGTTGAGCCAAAAACCAGGTATGACTGAGCTATAACTAATTTGGTCGGCCATCATAACAGGCTACTGACAAGCTGTTGTTTTCAGCCATGAATATCAGACCCAAGCAGAAAGTGAAAACATTTTTTTGTCAGACTTAAAACTCTGTTTTCAAATTGTTCAAATAGAAATGATTAACTAACATGATGTTGGTAACAAACTAAAACAAATAACATATTGTCATCTTAACTTTCTTTATAAAGCTTTTATTTTGCTTTCTAGTTCTGTAATTTACTTGTGTGGAGTTGACAAAAAGGTTTTCAAAATTAATCAATATGTACATTTGTACAACAATTTATATATTTTTGTATAATAAATACCTTGTCCCTTGTTGGATGTGGATACGCTGGAAAACTGTAGCCACATTAGACATTCCTTCAAAACAATAAATATATCTCAAAATCATGTTTTAAAAAGTGTTTTTGGGAGAATATACAGCTGATCTATATCATGCGTGACCAGTAATTCCAGTAAGTCAAAAGTAGGACTTTATCACGACTTTATGCTTAGTTTCAAATCTCCAATCAACTACTCCGATACTTCGATACTTCTTTCTATAGATTGTAAAGCTGGAATTTGTTTTCTGGTATTGCGATGTCAGTTGTGCTGGAGATAGGCCCATATAGCCATCATATTACTTAAATTTAACGAAAGATTTGTCATTAATTTCTTTTGTTATATCAACTACATATTTTGTTTTTTTATTCCTCTGAGAATTATTGCAATTACCTCCTAAATTATGCTTGGGGGGAGGGGGGGGGGTGGAAATCAAAGTAATTACACAAACTTAAAATGGGAAAATGCAGTGATAACACCAATAATATACTTAGTTAGTTTTTAGCCTTAACTTCGTCTTGTCTTGACCTACCTGAAGAATTGCATCCATATGTCTGAGAACTTTTGGAACATGTTCCCTCAGTAACCAATCAAACTCCAGTTTCTGGAAGAGAAACAAGAAATCATGTAATGCTAAGCAATTCCGTAATGGTTGATAATCAGTTTTTATTGTATTAAATGAAATATTTTAATGAAAATCTTACGCACCATCACTTTTAGTTCTTCTTCATCCGCCATCTTGAAAAATGACAAGTTCAACCACAGGAAGCCCAATAGAAAATATTCAAAACAAAAAACTTTATCAATTGTTCTAGATCTTACATTATATCTTTAAAACGTGGTATCAAAATTATAAAAATCTGAGTCTCAAGGATCCCATTATAAAAATAATACAATAAACTGTGTAAAATCGTTTTTGTTTTTTTAGTATTAATGGGTTGCCTGTTTGTGGGCCCGCGATCTCAAAACAATAATATTAGAACCTAGTTTTCCCTCGGTTAATACATTAGAAAAAAGTTCGCAAACAAACAAGACGTGCGTACACAGTCAAATATGGCCAAAGAATTTTTAGCACTTATTGCCCTTTTTCTCCAATGTAAGTACTAAATTACCTAGTTCTCATGAACAGCTACGTCCTCTCTTTCTTGTACAAGGCACACTTTTGATATTTTATCTCTTTTTCCCAGGGCAAATTAGCTTTGAAAGTCAAGAGTACGAAGCAGACGATCCAAGAAATGCGTTCGAATTTGGCGCGTTGACGGTAGGTGATTCTTTTAACTTTTTAAGGAGAAATTGTACTCTTATCTTGTTAAGCTATTTCTAAAATCATGCGTTTATGACTTCCGCTTGCTGTTATTTTGAGTTTGGGTTTTGAAGAGGCGCTAATCCCCATATATTAACCTTAAAATGTTCATGCCACTTAGTAAGATGTTCATCACCTATATTCATCCAGGTTAAATCTTTTTGGATAAAATACAGTTAATAAATAATTTTAAAAATCAACTTTAAAATTGTACATTTTTCTATTTCTAAGACTTAAGTAAACGTGTTATTTTTACAGAGGATAGACAATATACACATTTTCTAATTAGTGACAATATAAAAAATATATCATTGCCATGACAGTAATGATTAACGTTCCCTCGAGTGATAGCATCATTATTACAGCCAGTAATCTCCTAGCAGCTGTTTAGTAAAAGAAGCATACACATTATAGACGGTAAGATAAATAAAGCGTCCTATTTCTCGTTCTAGAACAAAACCTCATGATCTATCCGTGTTAATTAAAAGTTTTATGTAATCAAATCTATTTGATCTGGTTGTCCTATTGTATACTGGCTGAAGTACCATGTGCAGCTAATCAGCCAATCGGGTCCTTTTATTGTCTAGCCTTTTTGAGCGGTTGTTTATTCTTTTTTAGTCCAATATCCTTGTTTTAATATTTATTTTTTCTATTGCACTCTACAATATACACTCTGTTTTCTATGTGATCTGACTATCACACTCAAATAAATAGACTTTTTTTGTGGGTTCAAATGAAAACCACTCATATAAAAATATATTTTAATATTTTTACATTTAAAATGTTTGTCTATTTTGGCAGAGTTTTAGGATGTACTTGTTTAGATTCATTATTATCTTTATATGATTTAACGAGAGGATTAGATTAGATAACAGATATATCTTTGAGATTGCATATGCTTAAAATATGCAGGACTATATCTGTTGATCTTCGACATCATTAACGAAATTGTATATTGTTGTGATTTATATATTGTTATTCATTTTTTTAATTTCTCTTAGAATTAAATAGCAAAAATTAATATATTACAAAAATAGTAAAAGTGATGAATAAATAAATAAAATAGAAAATACAGATAGATGCTGTATTAAAGTGGGGATGCAATTACTTTTAATGGAATAAAACTTTTAAGTTAATGTATCAATTACCGCTGACAATATATATATATTTAAATATTCATTTTATTGACAAAGTCTAAAAATTGCTTACTTTGGTAACCAAACCTGAATTAAATGCCTTAAGTGTCTTCTCATGCAGAACTGTTGAACAAAGAAATGATACTCCAGGGAATGACGCATGGTCTGAAATTAGAAAACATTCTACTTCAGATAAAGAAGTCTTTTAAGCTATATGTGAAGGTTCTGGTTACTATGGTAACCTGATTCAGAAATAAGGTTTATATGAAGACTTTATTCACCTTGGTAACCAGACTTTGGTTGCCTTGGTAATCGAAATCACTTAGGTTAAATCTTGTTTTCACACTCGTACGACAATTGAATGAACATAAATATCAACTAGTATTTTCAAAATTCTGTAGAAATCTGATGCTGAGAACTCCACCAGTCAAAGCTCATTAGGTAAGAATTAGATGAACAATTTAATTTAAGTTTTTTCCTTTTACTGTTATATTTGGAGCAGTGTACTATATGGATGGATGGACATGAAACAATTTATCAATTCCTAAAGCAATTCAGGGCACAGCTCACTTTCAAATCAAATTCAATTTTAGCTTGTTAGATTTTGAAGAAAAGACCTAACAAGCTCTATTGATAATTAAATGCCAAGCCCAATACCCCAGAGGTGAGAGGTGATGATAATATCACTCTACCACCCTTCATTCCCCATGTGCTTTTATAAAAGATATCCTTTGAGCAACCAACCAAACAATTGACATTTATAACTTGAATTTATTTCATAACAAGTTTTATTGTGAACTGTAATATTCTTTAATAGGTATTGAAGATATTGTCATGATTGTCAGGACGCAATCCAACTCATTTCACAAAAAGAAGGCCAAAATATTCCTCAACCATATCAAGGACCAACTGAAGCCTGAAGATAAGGTAATGGTTTGTTTAAATTAAAATTTATATTGTACATACCAACCCAGAAAACACTTCTTCAGCTATTATATAATGTTTTCCCATTTCAAACCATGTGTCATTCCTTTGAGTACTATTTTTTGTTTAATGGTTAGTGTATAAGAAAATACATAAATATAGATACAACTCAGACAAAAAATTATATTCTCAAGAATGTCTCATGGTCTGAAATTTTAAAGAAACTTATATTGACTGTTTTTCTTAATTGAATAGCTCCAGAAATTATCTGCCACCCCCCCCCCCCTCCACGGAGGATTTTTCAAAAGACCCCATACCCCCAGAAATTTCAATTTTCTTTCATGTCAAACTCAATATTTCTAATTATTCCTTCTTTCTCTGACTCCCCCACCCCTCAGAAATTCCAAATTACTCCATGGGGGATTGTGTGGGTATAGATAGTTTCTGGAACTACACATTACCATTTCATTCCTTATTGCTATTGGTGATAAATGAATTTTATCTCTTTATTTGATTTCAAGGAAAAATTGGTGGTTAAAATGGTTCACCAGAACTGGGCTCCCTTTGGTGCTTGGACAATATTTCCTATGTTAACAAAGTTAGTTTGAGTCAGCCTTTAAATCTTGAGTTTAATTGCAATAAGTATGACCGATAGATGACCATGTAGAATATTAAATCTTATATATTTATCCCCTTATTTTCAGGTTAAATGAAGAATTTAGTGAATCAAAATCCTGGATATTTTTCTGTGAAGAAGATACAATCATTGATTTGCCTGCACTTCTGAAAGTGCTTCAAAGGTTTAATAAAAGTCAGGTAATGAATCAACTTACCATCAACAAAAGTGTGTACTGTATGGTCAGTATCAATAATTATGGTGGCAGCAGAAGTAGAAGTAGTTGTAGTAGAAGCAGCATGCAGCAGTAGGAGTAGTAGTAGCTTTAGTAGTGGCAGTGGCAGTAGTAGTAGCCTTAATAGTAGCAACAGTAAATAGTAGCAGGAGCAGCAGTAGCAGCAGTAGTAGTAGCAGTAGCAGTAGCAGTAGTAGCAGCGCGCAGTAGCAGTAGTAGTAGCTTTAATAGTAGCAACAGTAAGTAGTAGCAGGAGCAGCAGTAGTAGCAGTAGCAGTAGCAGTACAAGCAGTGGCGGCAGTACCAGCAGCAGTAGCTTTAGCAGTAGCAGCAGTAGCACCTATTGTTGCAGTAGTAGTTATAGCAGCAGTAGCAGTAGCAGCAGTAGTAGCACTAGCAGTACAAGCAGTGGCGGCAGTACCAGCAGCAGTAGCTTTAGCAGCAGCAGCAGTAGTAGCTATAGTTGCAGTAGTAGATATAGTAGCAGCAGTAGCAGTAGCAGTAACAGTAGCATCTAACAGCAAAGTCAGTGCTAGCTGTTTGCATATAATTCAACATTTATGAAATTTTACTCTCTCTTTTTTCAGCCTTTGTTTCTTGGTCATGGCATCCAAGATCACTATCCAGCCATTATCCATCACTTTGCATTTGCGGAGAATCCATCTAAGTTCTCATTTCCTGATTTCTCTGCTGGATGGGCCATCAGTAGTTCTCTTCTTAAAATGTAAGAAAATCACTGAACTATTCCTAATATTTTGATAAAGGAGTACTAGTACATCCTCCTAAACTTGCATGCACTGTATTTTGGTATAGTCCCTTGATTTGAAGGTTTTTTTGGRGGGGGGAGGGGGGTCTTTGGTTTTCCTCCTTTTCTCCTTCCACAAAGCCTATATTAATAATTCAATCTAAGATTTAGTTATAACCTGACTAATAATTTGTCTCATAATTTTCAAACCTCAATATTTTGAATTTATTGAAAAGTGCTAACAAACCAGCTGGAAATATTTTGTTGAAAATTGAAGTTTTTTTGATGTGCTTTTGTTCTCCAGTTTCAATGTAGACGTGTGGTTTTTTTTCCAGGTTATCATCAAGATTAGAGAAAAATCCAATGAAGTCAGATTTTACAATTGATGTTCAGCATGAGGTGAGACATTATATGACATGGCCATAGGACATATTTGTAAGCTTTGCACCATCATGTGATGGCAGCCATGTTAGATGGCAGGAACAATACAATCGTTTTACATGAGAAAGAATTCAATTCCCAAAAGCTAAGGGATTTTATTGTTCTGCTATCTAACCACAGGTAGTCCAATAGAGGCTTTGTACCATCCCATGGTGGCAGCCATGTTAGATGGCAGGAACAATACAATTGTTTACATGAGAAAGAATTCAATTCCCAAAAGCTAAGGGATTTTATTGTTCTGCTATCTAACCAGATGTAGCCCAAGCTGTACTATGGGACTAGGCACATGATGGTGCAAAGCCTCTATTCAATGTTGAACATCACATGAGCAATTAAGCCTCCATTGTTGCCAAATTAGTGTACTGATACCCATTTAAAAACCTGGATGAGTGGAGAAAATATTCTAACATTTTCTTTTTTGTCTTTCAAAGGTTGCAATGTACATCTGGAATGATGGAAAAGGAATTTCTTTAACTGACGTGCCTGAATTCTGCACCAGTAAACCAGGAGAAGATAAACTGTGTGCAACGTCTTTTAATAGTACTCCATTTGATTGTGTAAGTACAATTATCTGTAGCTCAAAGTGACTAGAGGTAGAGTGCATACCATACTGATCCGTGAAAAAGATGAATTCAATAACAAAGTTGTACAAATTAGTGCAAGGTTTTGTAGGTCTATAAGGTCTACTGAGGTCTACTCAATTGACTAATTTGTACAAATTTGTGCAATTTCTCACAAAGTTTTTCAGAGATAAATGGCATGCACTCCATCACTCAGTGCCTTCTGCTATCAAAACAGACCAGCTTGGGTGTAATGATTCCCACTTAATGCCAAGTTTCATTCTTTTGAGAATAAGATTGTTTGTTTGAGTTGAACAATATTCATGAGTCTTCTCATGTGCAACCGTTCAACAAAGAAAAGATACTCTAGGGAATGATACGTGGTATGACATGGGCAAAACAAGTGTCTCTCCTCCTCACCTTCTGGATGGGATGCTACTCCATAGTAGGTGAAAAAAATAAGCTTACATAAATTTATTACATTTTCTTAAGCATGTATCTTGGTTTTTTTTTTTTTTTCGTGTTTTCCCACTAGGGAGAGGTATCTTTAGACGACATATTTTTTGCTGTAAAAACCACACAAAAGTTTCACAAGACGAGAGGTACAATTTATCACACTGCAAATGTTATGCTTCATTTACCTGCGTTTAATCCGGAAGGTGTACAGCCAATCACGTCCTCAGCATGAACAGCATCGTCATCGTCGTCATCGTCATCGTCGTCATCGTCATCGTCGTCATCATCATCATCTTAATCATCAACATCAATAATATCACTATTATCGACAATATCATCATAATGATCCTGATATTTTATAGTCAGTAGTTTACTTATTAGGCTTACTATTTGTTTTACAGTTCCTATCGTAAAGGACACACTAGGCCTTCATGCAAAACATCTAGTGTATTACAGCGAGACAGAAGACCCTGATGTTCCTACAGAAAACATTGGTGTACCTAACACAGAAATGGGTGGGTATTTAAAGGCCCTTTTCAAACTTTACTGACATTTTCTTTGTTCAAGTTTATCTTTGCCTAAAAAATGAGCGTATTCAAATTTGTTATGCGTCAACCGCGCAAGCATAGACTTCGTTGAAAATTCGCACTAAAGTTCAAGAATGAAAGAAGATGTGGTCTTTTTCTAGGTCACTGTGCCAAGCTGCAGGCCATTATCGAACGATCATCGAAAGACAAAAGATTTAACAAGAAACCCTGGCTTGTCGTGGTCGATGATGATACGATCATGAGGTAACGGCTCCCCTGTGACCACTGGGGTGAGGCTGGGAAAATTGGTTAGAAAAATGAAATAAGAAAGAACAATGAATGGCAAAATCTGATCACTGCATAGCTAAGACGAATCAAATCCCCGCAATTGAAACCGTAAGACAATTCACCGATATTGCATTAGGGGTAAAAGTACGTTTTTCCTCAAGAATCTTTTGAAAAAATATTTTAGATATTACAATATAGTCAAACGATGTTGGTAAACTATGAAGAGTTTCAGTACATTTCTTCGAATAAGATGACAATCGCTCCGAAACAAGTTATCATGGATTACGCAAGTAACAATTTTTAGCGCACACTCGGAAGTTAGGCGTGCTAGGGCTTAATAAGAAAATAAATATTACAGACCTAAAGTCCGAACGGATAATAACGTTGATATATAGAGTTATAACTAAGTTATTAATAATTTTTTTGGCTTTACAGCGCGCCTCGAATGCAGCGTCTTTTAGCTTGTTATGATCCAAAAGAGGTCATCCTTCTGGGTGAAAGATATGGTTATGGAGTGACGACTGGCTTCGGGTATGAGTACGTCACAGGAGGTGGAGGGTGAGTCAACTGCCTTCAATAAAATTTAATAAGGGTTCATGAATACTGTTCCTGGAATTACTGGAAAACTCTAGTGCCCTGCAAGGCTCCATGGAAATACTCATCATTCCCACCAATTCCTGGAATTCGCTGGTAAATGTGACATATAATGAAGGAATAAGGGCTTTTTGATAGTTTTTCTTAGCAAACAATTTATATATTAAAGCAATTTTTCCCTTGGAAATTTAAATGAATAGACCCCTTGCATGTGACATCAAAGGAGCTCAATTTGGAGGACAAAACAAAAGAATTTAACAATCTCCTAAGAATCGAAAACCTATTGTTTTCCCCTCCAAATTGAGCTGAATTCTGAAGTGCTGCAAGGGGCCTATTACGCACTAGGGTCCCCTTGGGACGTTTGCTGCAGGCGTACTTCCAAGCCCTGGGCCCTGGAAAATTTACATTTAACCATAATAATAAAAAACTCTTGGAATTTCGTCATCTGTCAGTAGTACTGTATAGAATAATATTCATATGTGAACTTCATGAGGCAGTCCGTTAATCTATTTTTTGCTTTCTTGTTAGCATGGTCTTGAGTAGAGCAGCAATCAACGCAATAATTGAGAGTGGCTGTTCCTGTTGGGAGCAGAATTCCCCGGATGATATGTGGCTTGGAAACTGTTTTAGAAATATAGGTGTTCCAATCATACACAGCCCGGCGTTTCACCAGGTAAGCTATCATGCAACATGCTCTTGTATTGCATCCCAAATTATGAAGACTCAGTGTTTCAGGATAGCCCAGCGTTTCATTGGGCAAGATGAACAACATTTAGATGGCTTTCACGTCACTCAGAGATAATTTATTCATACCACATGAATTTTGAATCAACTTAATTCAACTCAAACGTTTAAAAACTGCGTTCTTTCTGTTCACATTTAATCGGAGTTTAACTGCAGAAAGTGTAGAAATTGCAACTTTCATACAATCCCACGTTTCGTGCACAACTAAGGTAAGCTGTCCTGCAACCTGGTCCTTCAGGAAATGGTCGTCTTAGCATACCAAAATAGTCACTTCTTTAGGAATCACAAAGACATCGTTTTTTAACTCCCATTTATCATTTTCCCATTTCTTAAAAACTTTGCTTCCTTGGCTGGAGGTTTACTTATCATACTTAAAAAGTCTCATTCGTTTTTAGACACGGCCCATTGAGTACGTCCCTTCCCTTCTAGCTCACCAGACTCCTGTGTCGTTCCATAAACACTACGAAAACGATCCTTTGGCAGTCTACAGAGATTACTTAAGCTAATGGTCAGAATATATATCATTAGATAAATTGAATGCCAAAATCTCAGTTTAGGCAATTTGAGAATTTCCGGCAATGAGAAATCAACCAAGATTTTAATGCGGTTTTAAACAGTATTCATAAAATTATATATAGTTCTTAAAGAACTTGTAACAATTTCAAATGACATTGCAATTAGCAATGGAGGAGTGAACCCGCTGCTAGGACTCTCTTGTCATAGCGTTGCTCTGCAAAGGGGAGATTTTTACGTGACACACAGTGCACAAAATTTTCAGGAACAATTTGAAGTTGAAGTCTGTTTCCTGCAAGACTAGTTAAAGGCATCCAAACCGTTCCACATTTAGTTTTGAACCACTAGAAATGGGTTCCAATTTATTAATAAAAATAATTATATTATTAATATATTAGTACGTCATTAGTATTCTGACTAGGTTATAAGTATATAAAAAAAAAACGATATTAGTACAGTAAGATTGAAATCTTTAGATTTAGCTTAATCTTTAGCAGACATTGATAAGATTTAATTAGTTTTTTTCTGAACTGTGCGCTTTTGGGCGTTGAACTTTTAAAAGTTGACAATTTTTGAAACGATAAAAACAAGATAAAAATATTCACATGCTTAATTTTAGTTTGAGAATACGGTTTTATGCCTTCTGTAGCGGGTTCGATTGCATTCATTCGTTCCGATCCCGATTCCTACGCAGCCCTGCCAACCATATCCCCTGGAACTGATCAATATATGTTATTAGATGGGGGGTGTTGCGTGAAAACGATTCAACGTCACGCTTGGATCGTCGTAAAAAATAGGAGGGCCTGGAACGGTCATAAAAACAATATAAAAACATTATAAAAATATGTTTTAATAAAGTATACGTCTTCATTGAAAATAAATATTCCAGCTAATTTTATTATTTCTTAACGAACTTTTTTTGTAATTGAATTGATTGAATTTTAGCTATGATTTACATTGTAATTAACAGTGAATAGTAAACTTGTACTTGACACTCTACTCTACCTTTGCTGTGTTTTGCTATCATAATGGTGAGTAGACTTTTGTATTTAAAGCTAAGCTCCTTAGTTATTACATGTAGTAAGGGCTCTAGTCCTTAGCTTCCACATAAACTTCATTTCTTCGCCCCCATAGTCTGAAAGGAGCGTCGTGGCCAGCAGTGTAATACGTATCTGTTACGTAACGCTTTCCATCACGATCCAAAGCAGCTCTGAGCTTTTTCAGATGTTCTGTATTCAGTTGATGTTTGGCAAAGCCTCCAAAATTGCACACGTAGAACTTCTTTTCCCCTTCTTCTTCGAAGAACAGGCCTTCTTCAGTCGGGGCTGGGCAATCTTTAGTAGGATCGACAAAGAAAGACATTCTTGCAGACTTGACCTGGTCTTGATCCACTTCGACTGTCAAACGAACTGGACAAGTCATGGCAACCTTAGATTTGGTCTCATTCTTGCCTCCAATGTAATTGAAAAGCTGCCAAAAAGACTTGCTCGATCCTTCCTCGTAGTCTTTGACTTCCATCTTTGAAGTAATCCATTTAGTTGGTCGGTATATTCTCGTTTCGTAGTCTTCGTTACTTTCTGAGGTTAGAACTTTGAAGTTCGGCCCCTGATTACCGTGGTAGAATTCAGGCTGGTGGAATTTAGTCTCATCGATTTTGGGTTTCTCTTCTCCTTTCAGCCAACTTAACATGGTGAAAAGTCTTACGTTCGATGTGGTACAAGAGAGTTTTATAACAGACCTTGCAGTAGTACTGTTTGTAATAAACATGAGAGTGAGTCAGCATAACATTGTGTGACATATTTCTACATTGGTCACGCCAGGTTTTCGGGACTACACTTCACTTTGCATTCAAGGATGACAAAATATATTCATACTATTGAGAGCCCTTTCTATCCATTATTCTATATCCTCCTCACCAAAAACAGTATCTTTCAAATAAAGATTTGCATCTATAGCTAGTGCTTGTCGTGGCCTGTTTATATTACCCCATAATAGGATAAACCCTCCCTCCCTCTACGAATTAATTTACCGAAATATTAAGCAAACAATAACGACAGCGAACAACAGCTATGAAAACAATCAAAAATTTTAATATTTAATTTGTACCTAGTTTCACTTCCCGGCCGTAGACAGTAATCTTAGAATTCACTACCATGTTGCCCTCTATCATTGAACACCATTGTCTGATACTTGCTTAATTGCTTATTTTCTTCCCCACTTTCCTACAGGTCGACTGGCAAAAAAATCCCAAATCTCTCAATTAATTTCCCTCATTTTCAGTATTTTCTTCTTTCGTTTTTTCTACTTCCTCTGTCTGGTCATCTGCCTGGTCATCTGCTGCCAGAAGAATCATTTCATTGCGACGGTTCCACAGCTTGTATGGCGGGTCATAACCGGCAGAGAAATATTCTGCTCTTACGTAACTTTTTCCGTCACGATCCAAGGCTTGCATTAGACGACATCTACTGTCTGACCAGTCTTTATCCTTAGCCATTCCACTAAAATGTGCAACGTAAGTAACTCGACTGTCTTCTTGCTTAAGAAAGACCTTTTCGTCTAGAGGTTTCGGGAGGTTAGGTAAAAGTGACGATGACAGGAAGAACGACACATTGAACACTTCGACTTTAGTTCCATCAGCATCGTCCTCGCTCAGCTTCACATGAATTCGTACGGGCATATTCATATCCATCTTCTTCCCTTGGTCATTTTTACCGCCGATATAGCTGTATAATCTCCAAAATGCGCTCATGAATTCCCCTGGTGGTGCGTTGGACGAGACCCATTGGGACTTGTCGTAGAGACGGGTCTCGTAGTCATCACAAGTTTCAAGAACTTTGATCAATGGCCCATCAGCTCCACGGTAAAATTCAGGAATGTGGAACTCACTGGTGTCAATTTTGGGCTTTTCTTCCCCCTTAAACCAGCTTAACATCTTTAGATATCTTTGATTTTAGCAGGGAGGATCGTGAAAGCACGAGCCAGGTACCTAAGCAAATCGAATTCAGTTGTTATGAGTAAGCAGAGAGGACCCTGGGGACAAAGTTACTGACCGGAAGCCAGAATCTTGCGACCAGGTCGTCAGGGCGCATGCTCTATCTCAGGATCGCTGACTTTAAAATGCCGGCTCAACCTTTCTGACGGCTTGTTTACGTCTTCTATTTGCAAAACTGTATATGTTCGAAACTGGAAATAGGATTTCATTCGATTTGACTCAAGATTCGAAGATATATAACCATTCTTGTCGATTTGTCTTGCTTGGTTTCCGTTGGTATGTTTGCTTATCCTGCTAATCAGAGTTCGTTGCTATGTTATTCTGAACATCCAATTCATAGAATTTTAAGGCCGGCACACACGAGGGAGATTGCTCCCGCAACACGCTCCCGGAGCAAAGCTCCCTCATCTGTACCAACGMTTTCACGCGGCAAAAAAATATTGCGCAACAAAACTTTTGCCCCCGGGTTTTACTCCCTCATATCAAAATGGTTAAATATGATGGAGCAAGTTGAGGAGCAAATCTGTTGCAGAATCGTGTTTCGGGAGCAAGTTCCCTCGTGTGTACTGAAACTTTTATTGCTGCACAACAACCTGTTTCCAGTTGGCCAATCAAATTAATTGTTGGATTTATAACTAGTTCCCATGCTCCAATCGGGTTGTTTCAGCGTTTAGCTCCCTTGTGTGTGCCGGCCTTAAATTAGGGTTTCCAAAATCCTACGATTTTCGCTATGAGGAGGCTCTGGGTACAAGAATGCGAAGTTGRTAAGACGCGGGATGCGGTAACCTGAGTATCAGGCCTTCAGGGTAGCTGGGGGAAGAGAGCCTGCATGATACTCAGGTTAGGGATGCGGAGGTCCCAACGACCTCGCCCCTTTTGAAACTACTGACACAGGATCAGACAGAAAACCTTCGGACTTTTTATAGTACTTTTTAGGTACGTATACTGTCACTGCTGGAATTCTTTCAAATAAGATGGCGGCATCATATATCGTTAGAGGCATTCCCGAGGAAGAGAAATCCCTTTTATGAACTACTTGATAAAAAAATTTTCCACATTGATTTTCATTTCCCTCAAATTTGAAGCTTGTCGAATTGTCCTATTAAATTAAGCGAAAATCATAGCCTGCGTAGCGACGCTTTGGGGAAGGGGGAGGGACTCTATTATATATCCAGTGGCGGATCCAGAACGATTTCGATGGGGGCGGGGGGGTACCTAGAAAGGCATCACATGAGCGTCCCTTTTAGGTCTTTTCTTATACTTTATTCTTCATATTTTTAAACTCTAATTGTTCAGGTGAATTGAAAGGTGACTAGTCAACTTCATGATCATCATGCGAGTTTTTGTAGCTTGATATTTTCATAAAAAAGTTAGTGTTGCACGATTTTCCTGACAAAATTTTTTTGAAAAAAGATACGTTATAAGAAACGTGGCTGGATTTCGATCTTTCCTTCGTTTATCTAAACTGAAAATGTCCTTATCATAAGCCGACCCATGACGTGACCCTCCGTGGCTGCGTGTCCTTGGTTGTTTTTTTATTGGAATTTTGTCTGATATCGATTACTTATGTATCTTGAAAGCAGATCGATCGATGTAATTGAAGAAAACTAAACAAAGCTTTATTAGAGATCATTTCATCTCGGTTATTGAAGCCGGATCAATCTAAACAGCGTATCCAAAGCAAGGTAAGGTGAAGAAAGTTATACACTGCACACAGATAAGAATTTCTTTATATAAGTTCTCTTAATATCTAGGATGGGTGTTCGAATRTTTAGAGTACCAACTGAATAACTGTCTTTTTGACTAGAGTGCACGCACTAAAACCGTGAACA